ATGAGTATGTATATAATATGATGCAGAATTATTCGTGATATTTTGAAGATTCCTTTTTTTTCTTGATTGTCGCTACACTGATCAATCTAATTACCTGGAGAATATACTGTAATTCTTCATTTTCCATTTATACACTAGTTGTTACCCTTGCATACCTGTTTCCAGATTTCCATACAAAACATAATTTGATATTTTACACTACTAGGGACATTTGATTTATAATTGTAGAAATTTTTATTAAATACAGTATGTCAATAATGAAAACAATATCATACCAACAGAAACTGGTAGTCGTTTAAACAAAAATATTATTGATAGTTTCTAACAAGTTAACATTGCAGCTTGTAATAATTATGTTATTATACAAGATATGTAAATAATGGGAGTTTCACATGATATTCATTTCATTCATCTGACACCAACGCTTCACGTACAATATGTTTCAAATATCGCCTTACTGAGCAACAAAAAGATTGTGACATACATGTCATCTTATTCTTGAATTCAGATATTTGTGATTTATATTTTGTACGAGTATTGATATATTGAGACTATAAGCCTAGTCGAAATTTGTGACGTAAAATACGAAGTTTTACGTGTTTTGTTTATTTGGTTTTTTATTAAATGTCAAAATGCCTGTAATGGAGAAAAAATATAATATAATAATTTGCCGATGTTTGTATCCAAGAATTGTGGAATCTCATATTTTTTAGAGGCCTTTTGTAAATAGTTGTATATATAGTTTTGTATATAGTTTTTTTTTATAGAGTTTGTTATTCGCCTCAAGTATGTATGACGTTTTGAGGTTTTCGTACAATGCTATCTAGTCTGGAATTTTTCACACGTACGTTTTCTTGAGTAGCATGTTCATGTATCATAGCTAATAAGCGACTTCAGAGATACTACAGTGTATCTGCTTGTATATTGGTGATACGTTGTTTTGTAGAGTTTCTTGCAATTGAATAAGTTTAGTAATCACGAGAATGCTTTTAAACGCACGTGAGAGAGAAATGGTTACGAACTAACATTATTATGTATGAATTGATTATGATGGCAGTATATATTCTACAATTTGTGACGGAAAGTTCATGTAATTTTTGTACTATTATTCTCAGTTGATATGTGATACTTTGGTGTGCAAATGAAAGATATTGAGTGTTATGTCATACATTTAAATCAAAGAAAACTTAAGTGACTTTCAACATGGTAAATGCCTACCGTGCCACTTTCTTTTTATTTCAAAGCAAACTGTGTTTTTATTCGTTTAGCTTCCGTCGTTCTGTTTGTGTTTTTATCAGTCGTTTTTACGTTTCATTCGTATTGAACTAAGTGTCACACATTATGTCAAAGTACAAATAAACTGCTTTATAACTGCAGTTATAGGTAGACGTTGAGTATCGTTTTGAAACCAAATTTCATGAATAAAAGTTTGAAACATGATAAAGTAACGTTGGTGACATCTTGCAAATATGGGTCTGCCTTCTGTGATTGCGAAACGATGTGGGGAAGATAGTTATGCTGGAAGAGGGATAAATAAGGAAAATGTGGAAAGGGGAATGGAGAAAAGAAATAGGGAGAAAGAGAGAGACAGAGAGGGGTGGGGACACATGAGGAGGGAGTAGAAAGAGAGGGGGTATAGGAGAGAAGAGAGGGTGAAAAAGAATAGAAGGGGGTGAAAATGATAAATTCAAGATGATTATCATGATTACCATCATGATGCTATTTGTGATTGTGGATGCCCGTCGGATATGTTGAGGATCAGATTATTGCAAGGTAACCAGGTCGCCAAGTGAGGCAGCCGTTTCACGTCTCTTTCACCTCGCTTTAATGCTCTTCTTTTCTTTCTTTTTTCGCCCCTTTCGATGGTTTACATCCTTCCCTCTCCCCTCCCCTCCCCTCCCCTATCCAGCTAGGCAACTGATTACGCAATGGCATGTGGCTAAATAGTGATATTTATTTTCATGATAGAAACTTGACAGTGATTGTATTGTGACTGATTGAGATGATTATGACATGATTCGAAATAGGACAGGCATAATATTGATAACATTAATGGTAGCAGGGGCAGTTTTAGGACAATGACTCCCTGGACAAATAACCCTCTTCCTAGGGACAACTACTCCCCTAGGAAAATTGCCCCACGGAAAATTACTCCGAGGGACAAGACCCTCCAAAGACAACCACCCCGAGGACAATTACCCCCTGTGGCCCTGTTCATTAAAGGGTTAGTCCACCCTGATAATAATTTGGTTTTGGTAAAAGCAGAACAGATAGATAAACAATTAGGTGAAACTTTGGGCAAAATCCGATTAGAAAAGTAATGGAAGTTATAATCAGTGAACACAAATTGGCAACACTGTGACGTATCATGCGAGCTCCTCTCCAAGTTGCTTTCTACAGAAAATTTCATAAACTTTCATTTTCTTAGTTATGACGAAATAGATTAGTTTCATCAGTGGTTGTATGAAAACATATTTGAAAATTTTTACTCAGGATGAATGTATGATTGAATTGTATTTTGATGGAAGAATACAGATTTTTGAAGATTTTAAGAACAGATCGAGTTGAAAAATTGTGTTTGATTAACTGCACCTTCAAAAATTCATGACTTTCTTATTTTTAATCGGTGAAAGTTCTTCAAACTCTAGGCCAAAAGAAGTCTAGAAACAAAGTAAACGCAAACACAGTCACCCAACCAGGTACTCATCTAATCAAATTTAGGGCCTGGCTGTACAGACAAAATATGTATTTTTAGCAAGAAGTGTTTTTAGAAAAGGTAAATAAAAGTCACCACAGTGTCTAATTGTATAATTTTCCGGAGGGTAATTGTCCTCGGGGCTGGTTTTCCGTGGGGGTAATTGTCATCAGCTAGGGTGATAGTCCTAGAGGGTAGTTGTCCTCAGGGGGTAATTGTCATCGGGGGGTAATTGTCCTAGGGGTTAATTTTCCAGGGGATAGTCGATCGTCTGTGGGGGTAGTTTTCCATGGGGGTAATATTGTCCGGGGTAATTGTCCTGATACGAGGAGGGGGCGATGTCGGACCAGTCAGCAGATTAGGCAAACAAAAATCGAACGAACAATTGTTAGAAAACTGGTTCCCTCTATCTATGTATTTTACTCCGGCTAGCTCTCTATCTTCTATTGTTCTAACTATGTCTACCCCCCCCCCCCCACCCTCACAGTTTCCTTCTCGGTCAATTTCCTTCCGCATCCCCCTCATTCCTCTCTATCTCTCTCTCTCTCTCTAGCTCTGTCTTAGTCTACTCGTCTCTCTAGCTTTACACTCGGATGGCCATGTATATCTCTTTAAATACAATCATGACAAACAATAAAATAAAAGAACATTTTTCTTTTTTTGCGTGTGATGGCATAGTTTATATTAATATCATAAGGCACTCCAATATCTACAAAAATTATATATAATATTTTATACAAGAAGGCTACACAAAAGAAGAATTGTCTGCACAATCTTCAAAAAAGAAGAATCACCTCCATAATCTGGTAAACAACATTGACAAACAAAATACGTACAAAACATGTAATTATATCAAAGTAGGCCAATGGCACTTATATAGCTCATATAATTTTGTTTCTGATTCAGCTCCGATATCAAGTATATATAGAGAGTGCATGAAGTTGTTCACGGTTTGTTGAAAACATTTGAACACAATTTCCATTTGATGCTGAAAATTTTCGTTTTATATATATATTACTCGATTTCGGCTCTGTAACATAATTAGAAATATTTCAAGAGCTTAAAAATATACACTGAATATATGTTTATAAACATATACAGAAAACAAACCCATTATGATATAGTTTTCTTTGGGAATTATGTGTAATTTTGCAATGGCATAAATGAATAACCGTGTTCATAGGGATAGACCATTTCGTAATACAGTACCGTTAGCACATGGTTCAAATTTATGACCTCGAATATCCACAGATCTTTTAAATATATAAAAGTCCAACTCTGTGCATCAAAGTAATCACTGCTAAAGTCATGGAGGTGCTTCATGAATACGTTTTTTTTTGCCCTATTGAGAAGAATACTTCCATCTGTGATTAATAGAATGAAATTCATTTGGAAATTGCTACGCTGTTCTTTTTGTCATCCTCGAGTAAACAAGACACGCGTGCTCACAAATCCACCAATTGTTTCTAATAATACCACGGCATGCCTTACTTTTCAAACAACGATGGTCAATGTCTGAAATAGCAACGGCAATGTCTAGTTAAGGTATGCTATGTATTATTCCTGTTTAAAAAACATACGGTGCTATTGTGAACATGGGTGCCCCTTGCTACATGAAGAGATGATACCAAGAAAACTAAAATAGTAAACAGGTGCCATTTTGCCAACGGAGTAGGACTCCGGTATACTTGAGCTGTCTTGGGACTGTCATGCTAGAAAGACCCTGTACAATAAGTGTAATCAAAATGAGCAGTATACAGACGTTGCTTTTGCGTATGAGTCTTATGCTATGGTCACATTACCCAAAAGTAGACTGCTCGGCGGCCGAGCGGCGAGTTTTTAACCAATTCTGCCCGGCGGCTGCCGTCCAGGCACCGCTCGTTTTTAGGGCATCGCTCGGTCGCCGCTGAAGTTTTAGCGCGGAGTTAAAATTTGGGCGGCACCTGCTCACTTTTCACTCGCCGCCCAAAATACGCTCGGTGCCTGGGCGGTCGCCGCCCGGGCACCGACCTAATCGCTGGGCGATGCCTAATTCCAGCAGCGACCGAGCAGGCTACTGATCGGTCGGTCGCTGCTCTGATTTGTGACCATAGCTTTAGCTTCATATAGGCTTGAGTAGCAAAGGTAATAATGCAATGGAAAGTACATATCGTGTGCAACGTTTCTTAGACGATTTCCTTCATCAATAATTCTTGCTCACTCTCATTTGCGACAGCATGGTCCTTAGCATGTTAAATGGTTTACGGATCAAGGACTGCTGCACTGTGGAATTACATGATTGTGTAATACGGTGGGATAATCATGATTTTTTTTTTTTATAGGCAGACTAGAATGGCGGCATATCAGGTGAAACAAATGGAGACACTTCGTATGGCTTTAGAAGGTGTAGTAATCCCACTTGCTAGCGTTGCTGACTGCCCAGAATATGAAACCAAAGGCGGTACCCCCAGCAAACATGGCGGCGACCGTGACGAAAGACAGCACGGAGAGAACACCCATGCCTGAGAGCCCGTGTCCGCTGAGAGGAAAGAGAGGGGGAAATGGTTTCCAGGTTAGTTCAAGTCACAAGTATTACACATTTTCAACAAAAGCGGTTCCAAGGGGGTGGGGTAAGGGCTTGGGGGCTCAAGTTCGATCCTCCCGCCACCAAAAAAAAACTAGATTTATAAATGACTTTAGGGTCACATGTAGAAAATGAATGCAGGAGTCTCCAAGAGCAATCTTGCAATTGTAATGTATTACATAATAAACCCATGAGTATTAAATACAGGGGCGGCGGAGCGTCTTCCAAAGTGGAAGGGGGAGGACCAACAAAAAAGGGCACTCTCTCGGGGGGAAAAGGGGCACCTGCAAACGCAAACCTCGAAGTTAAAAATATACAATCTTTAGACATCGGTTTGTACCCCATCATTGTCATGATTGTTATTAAATTATCAGGGATGGTTTCAATATTTTTTTTTTTTTTTACATTGTCCAAGATACCGCTTAAGATTCATACTTTGCACTTGGGTGTGAGCACAAATTTTGAAATTTCTGAGGTCGAAGTGAGAAAAATCTACATCTTATAGGGAAAAACAAATCATGTTGTTATTGGGTTTAAAGCAATATACTATAATGAAAGACTGAAAAGACCTTTAATAATTACAGTGTAACACAATTTTATCCACTATAAATGCGAGTGAGCTTTGGGGGGGGGTGAAAACAAAACTCTAAAGTTGCTTTAAATTAAGGGCGCATGTTATAGAGAAAGGAAAGAGGGCACTTAGAGAATGGAAAATAACACTTAAACTATTTCTTGTCATATTTCGAATATAAGGGAAATTGAAGTACTAATCCTTATCAGCGGAACATGTTTTAATTCAATGAAATTATTTCAAACCAAGATAAACAGATTGAAAAAGCTTTAAAAACAAAATTGTCACCTTTCCCAGAACTCAACGATCTCTTTAATTGCTAATAACCGAATAGAAATATCTTAATGTATATGTACCTGGTACATCCCCCTGCAAGCCTGGAGCCGAAGATGAGCAGTACTCCGCCAAGAAACGATGACATGAGACTAACACCAGGCGTGCTGCCTAGGCTGCCTGAAGCTGCAGCGGAGATGCAAGCACCAGCGATAGCCCCTATCACATAAAACACCTGCAAACAAAGAAGGACAATTCATGAAATCCACGCATATCACAAAGACACTCTCTCATTATGATATTGCTAAGGGGTATTATGAAGATATATACACGATATAAAGCCATAGGCATACGAAGCGGGAGCTATAATTTTCCAGGATGCAGACTGTGGGGGTGACATGCTTTCGAGTAATAGCAATTTAAATTGCTTTTGTCACCCCTGACCAGCAGATTGTATCCTTCTCTCTATCTCCTCTCCACTTTCCTAAAGCTGTTTGAATGTATTATGAAATGTCTATGTATTATCTGATTGTTATACTCACTGTATGTTTTCCGATTGGTCAAATAAATAATAATATAACTAATAATAATAATAATAATAATATAACTGCAGGACATCCCTAGCCCCTCCTCCCTCCACCCATTTATGAATTGTTAAATTACGAATATTTGGACAAGCACTATTTCATGTTGATGATGATCATTTGATGTTATTGCTCTCTATTAGAGCAGTTTGCTGTCAAGGTTATATTTCCCTTTAATTCTCTCTCTCTCTCTCTCTCTCTCTCTCTCTCTCTGTTTTTATCCTGGTATCTTCTCACAGCTCGGAGGTTGATTGCAACGTTTTTTTTCCACACATCTCTGTTTTCCGCCATCCTAGTACATTCTTGCAGTGTCATTCCACTCCATGTCTTAATGTCCTCCTCCCATTTGCATCGGCTCCCCTCTCGGTCGTGTACCTTCTAATAGACTCTGGTGTCTTTTAAATAATTATGGCCGAAAATTTCGCCTTTCTTGTTTAAATAAGCCCTGCCATGTGCAACATTTATCTGTTAGTTTTCAATTCTTTCCATGATATTCACACTTTTATGTTGTATTTATGTTGTATTGTATGTTGTATAATAACTGTTGATATCTGAATCCCTGGACCCCAGGGAAGAACAGTTTTGTTATACTAACAAAGCTGAATGGGTTATCCAGCCATTCACTATACCATTGATTTTACTATGTACATCCATTTTCTTTGTATTGTTTTTAATATTGTGATATGGAAAATAAATACCAATATATCAATACACTCACCTGCCACCAATTTTCAGCCCCCCTCTTGAATTTAGCCAGGTATGGTGACCACGATTCCATGCGTTCGGTGACGAGGGCCTGGGCACCTAGCGTACAGAAACTACTGCTACCTCCTATGGTATCACTCACTATTAATACCAATGGAATCTGAAGGCAACCAATCATCACCCCTGTAGACGAAAGAACAGACAAATAGATGATATCAATAATGATTTATTTATATCTATTTGTTATATATCAATATATCATAAATCATTTATGTTTATGAAAAATATTTATATTGCTTTGAGAAAACAATTACAGAGCATAATGAACAGATTAAAATCTAGAACAAAAAGTAATGAGAAAATTAGGCGATGGCCTCTACTGAGAAGCTTATAGCTTCTAAATATAGACTCACTGACTATACAAAAAGCTTCTACTGCTACTAATGATAATCATAACAATTATGAAAATATGAAAGACAATAATATTAATAAAAATAATTATACTGATATTAAAAATAATCGTATTAATAATACCGGTTTCTTTAAAGTATTGTACCATTAACTGACTAATCGCTTTCAGTATTATATATTATTATCTCGGTCTCTATATCTTATTAATATTCGGCACATTACAGTGCACGTTTTCCACTCCTTGGGGAGCATTCAGGCTAGTCGCCTTTTCATGGCCACGCGCTTGCTAATCCATCAATGTCTAACCACATGGGTGGAGAGAAGCAATGTAGATAAAATGCTTTGCTCAGTGACCTAAGTGCCGTGTAGGGACTCAAACCCATTTCCAATCAAATGATTAACCCACTCGACTTCGACACCTGAGTCTATGGATGAAAACGGATGACGATTTATCGTGTTGTTCACGCCAACTATGATATCTTACCGGAAACATATGGGGGCCAGGCCAGCGTCTCAAAAAACCACGAACCTTCTACGTTTGGATTCTGTCGCAAAAAAAGCAAAAAAAATGTCAATTTATAATTGAAAAATTATATTCTGTAACCACCATGCACCAAATAATTATGATAATATCAATAACGATTTTTTTTTTTTTTTTTTTTTTTGTATAAAGCGCTTTATCAGTTAACAACTTACAGTATTATCATTACGGTTTATAACGATCCTACACATATTTGACGGACGCGCACATACCAATAAAATCACATTGACTCTCGCAAATAGTTAAAATCCACTTCATTTTGCAGTAAATCGCATCTTTTATGTACCCAATTTCGAAACATTTTAAGGGTAATATTAACACATTTGAAAGAGTCCTTAAAAAGAGATGCCGACCTTTGGTACCTTTTAAACAAATCGTCCGGATCCACCCCTAATATGATGTGTATTCCAATGAGAAGTATATTTTCTACAAAGATTTGTTAAATTGGGAATTATGAAGTCTTTGTTTCATTAATCGTCAGATCAATGAAATGATGTTATTCTTTCTTTTAATCACATTTTTTAATTTAGAATTTGTTAAGATTCTGATTCAGATTTTTTTTAAAGAGAAACCTATCCTATACGTGCCTGTGATTTAAAGGTAAACGGAAACCGAAAACAAAGCTTTCAATTATAAAGTGAAATACTGGAATTTTCAGACTCAAAATATTTCCCCAAAAAGAATCTTTCCAACTTGTGTTTGCAGTCCAAAAGCTAACATAAAATCAAACAAGGATACGTCTTTAAAGAAAAAAACAGATTAATATTCAGACTGCCTTCCAAATGCTCATTGCTCCCCCAAACCTACCCCCACCCACCCACCCACACGCACACACGCACACGATGATATACAAGGGAAGACACATTTCAGGCACGGTGTTATAAAAGAATGGTTTCGGGAAAGCTTGAGGGTTCTTTCATTCTTTTTCCTTCATTTTCTACGTGTACCACTCTTAAATGAATAGGTGGGTCCCTTTAGAACCGCTACTGGCAATTAGCCACTTACTAAAAGATCTGTTGTCCATGGTACTAGTATCTCGATGGTTACAACTGCCAGACCCATCAAGACCCCAGCGGCAAGAGCGATAGCAAAAAACGGCACCTTCCACTTTTCGGTGTAGCTGTCTGCTCTGTATATAGAGAAGTAAGAAATATCATGTCAAACAATATTGCGACGAATATCACGAAACTATACGTTAAATATCTAAGGAGAAGTTTTCTTTTTTAATGTGATGGTTTTGGAGTCAAGGACTCCTGAGTAGGCAGATGTTGGGTTGATACAATTCTATCAATTATTGGTGTATGAATTTAGAATACAGTCAAACCTCTCTTTTAGGCTACGCAAGGGAAACAAAGAAAATTGCCACTGTATAGACAGCAGCAGGGGCGACGATCCCGGGGGACGGGGGACACGTCCCCCCCCCCCCCTCTATTTTTTTAGGGGGCGACGTCCCCCCTCAAAATTTGAAAAAGTGCCAACAAAATGTATAGCAAATACTGATTAAAGACTGCAACACACTTTTAGGCTCTGGAGGGCCCAAGAGTGCAGCGTTTAAACAAATAAAAATGCAAAAATCTTCTCACTTGGTAGCTACGCTCCCTCGCATAATGTACAAGTAAATACCGAGAAAATTGAAGAGTGAAAAAAAAGTATATTGCTAACGTTTATACTATAGATTTGCTAAGGAATGTAAGTTTTAATACAACATAACTTCAAAAACATGTGAGGGGGTAGTCACTTCCGTCACCTTCACCCCTCTCATTCACTATACTCCCTCGAATTTGCGTACTGATGGGGGCGGGGGGCTTTGGGGGCAGTTCCCCAAAAATGAAATTCAAACGTGGTTTATTCCTAATTCAATACCAGTGATTTACAAATGTTGTAGAAATGGCATGATTTTCCCCTTACCTTCCGGGTGCCCTGCCTCCTGGAGCCCACCAAGGGCCCTAAGTCGGGCCTTGCCCCATGGAACCCACCAAGGGCCCCTAAGTCGGGCCACTGGTTGCTCATCTGACCGAAAATAAATGCCTAAAACACCTGAGCTTCCAGGAGCTCTGCTCCCTGGACCCCACGTAGGGTCCTAAGGCGGCCCCTTGATGCTCATCTGACCGAAAATAAATGCCTAAAACACCTGAGCTTCCAGGAGCTCTGCTCCCTGGACCCCACGTAGGGTCCTAAGGCGGCCCCTTGATGCTCATCTGATCGTAATTTAATGCCTAAATCTCCTGAGCTTCTGGGGGCTCCGCCCTCTGGACTCCACCCCTGCATGCCAGCGTCACAAATAAGGTATCAAAATATGCTCATCTGACCGTAATTAAAAGCCTAAAACCCCTGAGATTATAAGGCTCCGCCCCTTGACACCCGCCGGTGCTACCCCTGGACCCCACGCCAATGTACGCTCCACTCTACTTTGCTTTGCTCTACCTGATCGTAAATACTTTAGCCATCCCCCCTCCCCACTTTAAAATACGTTCCCAGGGCCTGCGTAACGTGTAAGACTGGTGGTGATGCGGATTTTTTTTTTTCTGCCCCCCCCCCAAAAAAAAAAAAGTTGTTGCCCATTGTGCCACTGCTCCCTCGTCCCTCGCAATTCGTCCCCCCCCCCCCCCGGTCATGAAAATAAATCGCCGCCCCTGGACAGCAGACCTTTCTCGACAGATTCTAGAACACAAATTCTTTCTGTTTTGTATCATTACCATTTAAATGATAATCATACTAGCTGTATTTCTTGAGTATTGAACAATTATTCAGCCACTGGCTGCTATTCATGATCGGACTGCTATTAATAAACACATGAATAAATGAATGAATAAACAAATAAACAAAAATTGGGCGCCGATGTCGACACTTACAAGTACTTGTCATAGGGCTTCGTGGGCGACATCATCTTCCTTGTCCAGGGTTCAACCAGAGCGTACAGGTACACCCCGACCATGCATCCAAAGAACGTCATCGCTGCAGCAAAACAAACAAACAAAAGGGGAAAACATAAAGAAAAATGATAAATTATTGTACCATAAAAGACTCGGTTCAATTGCATTTAAAAGAGCGATCCTTCTATTTCTCATCATTTTAATACAACATCAAGACGATCGCAAGGGCTTTCGATAAATCAATTTAAATACCATATTGTATTTCCTGTATTAATCATATTCATATCAACGCGCAAGGCTGTTGAAATTACCTTAGGTTGATTTATTTTAATTCTATAAACAATATGTGTTATAAACAATTATCAGTGGCGGATCCAGGATGATATTTGTTGTTGTTGAAAGCTTAGAGGATTAAGCCGAAATATTTGAGCGTTGCATATAAACCCTGTACACCCTATGAAAATTGCTAAGAGAAATAAAATCAATATTGTAAAACTAAGCTTTAAAAATGACCCATTAACATTTAAATTCGATGAGTAATAGCATAGTATGCATTCCTCTTTGAATACCCCCCCCCCTGCCCCCTTCCCCAAAAAGAATAATAAAAAATAAAATAATCAATTTGTAATTAAGCCTTTAAAGTTGGACTCTCTTTGTTTTTTATTTTTTGACTCACCTCCTCCTCCATTCGACAGCCATGCTCCGATCTGAACCAACACCATTCCTGGGCACTGTAAAATAAAAGACAAAGGTTAGGAGTGCATCTTATAAAAAAGAAAGTTAGAGGCCACTGTGAAATAAAATGCGATAGATTGGAAAACGACCTACTCTTCCCAAGTTTTAAAAAAATAATTGTAACCCTAGATTTTGCTTCGGAACCAATTATCAGCGCATACTATACAAGGAATAAATCATATCCAGTACTTATATCGCAAAGGTCGACAAAGACAACTTTAGTTGAAATAAAAGCACATCACATTCGTATCGGGGATTCGAACCCACAACCTTGCCACTGAGATTCATTGAAGTAATCTCTTAAATGATCCTGCCAGATACTAATTTTAAACCTTTATCGAGAGAGACTTGGTAGATAAAAATGTCTAGCCTATAGTACACTAGCACCGAATAGAGATTCGAACCCTAAAACCTATCGATTGAAAGCCCATTAAAATCTTGTGAGTATTTATTTTAAATCCGGGGTGAATGAGACAACTGCAGATGAAGCCTTGTCTATTATTAAGACACATGCACCGAACAGAGATCCGTACCTTTAACTTCTCTATTAAAAGCCCTGTGGTCAATGAGCTCGTACACCAACATAAAAAGACGAAGAAAAGAAGGAAATGAATAAGAAGAGGAAGATCAATAACTAGAACAAGAACTAGGACAAGAAAAAGAAGACAAAGTGGCATATAGGATAGAAGAAGAAGAAGAAAGAGACACTCGATGTTTACTTACCGACCCGGAGAGCACCATTGCTGCCCCGAGGATGGCCCCGCCGATGGTGACGGAAATGATGCCCTTATGTGTGAGGCCGGCGACATAGGCCGTTCTCGAGGACTCGAAGACGTTCTTTGTGAGGGGGATGACGGAGAGGAGAGCGAGACAGAAGCAGCTGGTGGCGGCAGCGGAGAGAAACATCTTCATCATGATCCATCGCTGATAGATGAATTGCCCCCTGATGGTGGCCGTCTCGAAAACTGTTCGAAAGAGATGGATGAGAGAGACACTGATGAGAAGGAAGGGAAATATAATTATGACTAAAGGAAGAACAATATTGATACTTATATTATCCTGCGTAAAAACACTATTATTGTTACTAGAAGTAGTAGAGGAAGTAGAAGTAGTAGTAGTAGTAGTAGTAGTAGTAGTAGTAGTAGTAGTAGAAGTAGTAGTAGTAGAATAAGTAGTACCAGTAGTAGTAGCGGTAGTAGTATCGTCATCAGTATCATAAATATTATTATTTTTCATTATTACTACTATAATTTTTACAATCATTATTATTATTGTGATCATTATTAGTAGTAGCATTTGTAGTAGTAGTAGTAGTAGTAGTAGTATTTATATTATTATCTGTACTAGAAGTAGCAAAAGTAACACTCCACGTCGACTGATTTTAGGCCATTCCTGGTACCGACATTTTGGGGTTGATTTGTTTTCGATTCATTTCGGTTTCGATGATATGACTGAGGAATGAGGGGGACCAAGCTGGTCCATTACGCTTCGATCCAAAAGAATGCCCGTTTTAGTTTGGTAAAACGGTAGTAAGAAGAATGTCATCAGTCAAGTGTGCAAAACCGATTCATTGTTCTCGTTCATTGATCCTCTTCACGATAATTTTCAGCTCGATTTAATACGATTGTGTTAAGCCGTCACAGGAGGAAGCAGAGCTTTTATAATGGAGCTTTACTATATCGCCAGAAATAGTTTTCGAAATCAAGACTTCAGAAGAACAGAGACCAGTAAATAGAAGAGAATTTTCGAGTAAGTCTAGAATATGAGTTTAATGTTTCGGTGGCAATAATCCTGCATTTTCAATATCTAACACCAACTGAGTAACTCTCTATATTCTACTACTACTACTACTACTACTACTACTACTACTACTACTACTTCTACTACTACTACGATTAATAATAATAATAACAATAATAATTATTATTATTTTTACACAGGGAATTATCATCAGCCTCATTCCTGTTCTTCATGAGCGCCATGTAATTCCTTTTACTGCAATTATCGGGTACCCACTTACACCTGGGTATAGAGAGTGGCAAATGTGGATTGATGTCTTGCCATAGGACGTTAGTGGCGGGCTTGAATTGAATACCGAAGCTGTGACATCAAAACAATATATTTTTAGATTTTCTCAATTTTTTCTTTCTTCATTTTCCGAAAGAGCATAAAAAATAATGTCCAAATGCCGAAAACGAATTGAATATGTTAAGTATTGGCTGAGATATGACCATCTGAATAAATAGATTTCCTATAGGAACTCAGTGTTATTTTGCTCTGGTTCATAACATTACGAACGAGATCAAAATAACAATGAGCTTCTACAGGATTTTTTTTTTCAATTCAGGTGGTCATATCTTAGCCAATATTTAACATATTCAATTCGTTTTCTAAATTTGGACATTATTTGTTATGCTCTTTCGGAAAATGAAGAAAAATTCACACCTCCACTGCATGTAAGCATTAATTCATATGTGCCACTCTCCCCACCCATGCTCCAATGGGTAACTACAGGGCCCTCATGAAAGAAAGCATTACTGATTAAGAATCCCTTGCTAAACAAAAACATGTTTTATTAAATTGATTTGATTTAACAGCGCTTTTCATTCGATTTTGAATATTTACGTCACCCTCATATGTATTTTTGTTTCAGAATTATAAACAAAACTGTATCCAGAGAAAATAAAAGTGCAAATACGCAACTATAGCCTTTCGCATATCCTTTCCCTGCAAGGATGACGTAGTGCATGCAGGATCTTATATCTCTCATCGGTGTTATGTTTCATACCGGATATCCGAATGACCAATGCCTGACCATGCGGAGGAGATAACCTCATGATTTTGGCGGGAGAGAAAGAGACAAAAAGTTTATGAATTAAAATCGATACAATCCAGCCGACTCTCTGGTTGCTTTTGCAACGTTCAGCACCTTTAAAGAGAGCACTCAGTTATGGCAAATGTGAAAAACTCTTTTGAGAGCTTTCTAATTTTGTTAATGAAATTAAAGTCACAAATGTTATCCCCTCAATTGATTTTAGTCAAATTGAGATAATGTGTAGAAGAGGACTAAGGCCACAGGAAGACCAGCTCTCTCCAGATACGAAACAAACAGTGCACAACACTTTGAATTAGTTACACCGCAGTCTTCAGAAGGAAAATGAATGAACATAACCATAAACTATATTGTGTGAGGTAAAGCAAAGATAGCCACAAATGGAATATAGGAAAACGTGGATCAGAAAAGTAACCCATACCCAAAGAATGTGGCGCAATAGTGGGTATTTATAAACTATTTTACAGGGGAGGGGTTGAAAAAATCTTCCACACGCTGATTGGTGAGGGGGGTGCTGGAATCCTCTTCAATCCGGGGGAATATACTATATCTCGGCAGCTCCCATGTAGCAAACCAATTACACGCTGTATTACATCTTTTAGTGGGCATCAAACTGAGGGGGGTGTTGCCCAGGTTAACCTCATACTGGATACGCCGCGGCCACTGACCATACGCCATGCACTCCAAATCGAACGATGCCTCACTATTATGTTACAGTTTTGACAGCAAAGTGTGTGTTCTGTAGTATCAAGATTTTTTGACAGAGATCGAGTACATCAAAATGTAAGATATTATGTTTCTCTCGAGGTCCCAGATAAAAGAAACAAATGCGGGTATGAGAAGTGTTGTATTTGTTAATACTAGCATTCATTTGTCGCCTTTAAAAAAAAAAAACGAGATTTCGATTGGTGATATCTTAATAAATACACAACCTTTCTCAATGAAATTCCATAGACAATCTCATGTCAGTATTGCCTACAGTGTAATCGTTCTGTGAATTTCAAAAAGAATTTAAAGGCATCGTATAACAATGTTAAATCTGAGATGCATGGCCCTACGTGTTATCAGTGTCTGTGATATAGTGTAATATTGAAGCCCTAAAGAAATGCGCTTCAAAATGATCATGAAGTGCCTGAAAATAGTAAAAAAAATCTTTGAGTGCCGCGGTTTTACCCCAATAGACTGTAGTGAAAACGAAAAATGAAATTTCGATTTCCAATCACAAATATCTTGATAATCAGACAGGCGATCGGCTTGTAAAAGTCTTGGGATTCCTGACTGACCTAAGGATCAACCTCACTATATTCATTCAAGCGCAAGCTGAAATGTCATCTCCTAAGCAATTACACTATACTGGTAGAAGAAGCATGATGTTCTTTTAATAATATTATTGATGTTCAAACTGAATGTTCCTTTTAGTTTGCTGTTGTTGCCCTTCAATTGCCGGGATGTCATTGTGCTTCGGTGGCCGGGGAGCGAGGTGCATGCTTTGTTTGTTGTTAATGTATGTCCGACCTAGCAGCGACAGGTTATGTACTTCGCGCTCCTGCTGTTGAGTTTCAGTGCATTACGGCAGGTGGATATGGCGGCTTGTCATCAGCAAACATATTTAGCTTTACATAAATTTGTATCGAAAAAAATGTTTTATTCATGTTTGTTCCATCATACCAAGATGCTGGCGTCATTGACAACCAGTCTGTTCGCCAGCGCGGCTACACTTAATTTTTCTACAGCATCGTACTTTACCGGCACACACCCAGCGACACTCCCTTTCAAACAATGCCGACATTTTGGTATGCTCCTATGAGAATTACCATTGCGTACGGGTAGTGAAAATGTAATACATATGTTGCTAAGTATATGAACATTGTTTTTTTTTCTTCATAATACGTTTCAATTTAATTTAATTACGTTATTTAATAAAAACAAGACTATATCATTGTTATAACTTCCGGAGCCTATGGCCTACGAGCATTGCTTTCTCCGTTTAGGCTCCATCAAATTTCTTCCTTTATTTAACTTAGTCGTATGTATTATTCTTTTTGTTTGTATAAATGCATCTAAAAAGGATTACAAAAATGTAACATGTCAAATGTAATGATGTATTATACATCATGTGAAATATGAAAATAAACTGAAACTGAAACTGAAATTGAATTATGATTGCAGCACGAGGTAAATCCAGGTTTTTGTTTCAGAATGTTACCGAGTCACTTTAAGCGAGAACTACATAGGTATTCATTTTTTTTTGTAAAAAAATAATTAGCATTATCCAAACTGTTACAAGGAATACGCTTTGAAAAGTATCAGTGCACAATAAGCGTATGTATATACAAGCACGGCGCCTGATCATTCATGGCAAACTCTTAAATTAATTTCAACTCTAAAGGATGCTTTATCTCCAAATTTTATCGTTCAAAAAAATAAGGAGTCGTCGTTAAGGGGTTGGTTCGTGTAAATTGTATAAAATTGCGAGTCTGAACAATTTCCGGTTCCACCGAAGTAACCTTATATTGGGATCAAAAATCTTTACCTTCATAAATAAAAGGACCCGCATAATTAAAAACAAAATACATCATCTCAAAGGATTTTCGGAAGCTTTCATGATGACTTGGGACATAAACGTCGCATTATGAATATTACTAGAATCATGGATAATGAATACCAAGTCTTCGCTGAATTCGAGACAACAACATCAAATTGTCCCACCTTTCAAAACTCAATTGGCGTACATTATTAAAGTGCGACACACCATAGAGATAAGCACCCTTTCAAATTTTTTCGACAGAAAAAGCAACTGAGAAATGTGGTAACATGATAATAGATATTTTCCATAGCGCACATAAATTATTATCCACCACGCAAGGTGCTCAATTTGCTCCAATATTACCCCGGCTCTGCTAGGCTACCAATTTCAGTGCTTACAGCATTTAAGAAATTATAATATATTTTGGGAATTAGGCTCCCCCTTTCGAAATCCTAGAGCTGTCCTTGGCTGCCAGTCTATTTTCATGATCAACATCACCGTTTTAGTGAGTATAGAAGCCACTTTTTGTTTTGATATTGGTGAGCATTGGAAACGGTGGGCAAATTAACATAAAATAAGGAGAAGGCTGACAAATCATTGTCATC